CTCATTGCAAATGTGTGGGGGTAGGTTGCTGAGCTAGTTTATAAGTTTCCTTGAGCACTTTCATGCTCAAGTTAAAGTAGCAGTTTTCACCCGGTGTGCTGCAAGAATTTTTAAGACCTGCAATAACTGACTTTTTCAGTCAGCGGCACTGACCTCTTTTGCCTTAGATTGTCAAGGAAAAAGAATGACAACAGCCAGCACAACAATAGCCATCTGGTGTGAATGAATCAAAATTATACCTATTTTTTTGATCAGATCAGCCAAAAATATATTTTTGTGTGTGCCACAGAACTTTAGTAATTAGTTTATGTGCGGCATGAGGTGATAAGGGTTGAATATCGCTGAGTTAATACTGGGGAGAAGGGTGGGAGGGAAGGGGTCAACGGGAGGAATAGGGGGAGAATCTGTTAATACTTTCAACAATAAAGATAAATTTAAAAATTTAATACTGGGTACTAAAAGTCTTTAATATTAGGCATCATATAAAATGACATTATAGTTACACAGTTAAGAAGACCATACCACCCTGCTGGTGTGGCCCAGTGGTTGGGCGTGGACCTATGAAGCAGGAGGTCACCTTTTGATTCCCCGTCAGGGCACATGCCCGGGTTGTGGGCTGGATCCCCAGTTGGGGGCATGCAGGAGGCAGCTGATTGATGATTCTCTGTAATCATTGATGTTTCTATCTCTTCCTCTTCCTCTCTGAAATTAATTTTTTTTAAAAAAAAGACTATACTATGTGATATAAAGTGAAAAGTGATTTTTGGTTGTAGAATTACAGATATTTCAAAGCAGTTAAATACATCTTATATGAAACATAATCAACTGCGGTTTATTTAAAATATATTTTCACTGAACACATTTTTTAAAAATATATTTTATTGATTTTTTACAGAGAGGAAGGGAGAGAGATAGAGAGTTAAAACATCGATGAGATAGAAACATCGATCAGCCGCCTCCTGCACACCCCCTACCGGGGATGTGCCCGCAACCAAGGTACATGCCCTTGACCAGAATCGAACCTGGGACCCTTGAGTCCGCAGGCCGACGCTCCATCCACTGAGCCAAACCGGTTAGGGCTCACTCAACACATTTTTAAGTTACATAAATATTTGGATCCCTACTGTGGTAGGTGCTGGGATATAATGGTCAACAGTGAATAATTAAACTCTTACTTATATAGTAATGCTAGTAATGATATTTATAGCAAGCATGTCTGTGTGCCAGGCATTCTGAGTGTTTTACATTTACTTAGGACTCAATACTTTCCCCCCACAAAACACATGTTGTATTCACTGTGTTAAAATTAGACTAATTTTACTTGTATCCCCATGTACTCTATATCTTTTTTTTTTTGCTTATTCACTTGGATCCTCTTCGTTGTCCCACTTTTTCTCTAAATAAATATTATTTAGGAATCTCATCTTCCAAAAGATGTCTTCTTTGATGCTAGGGGTCAGGGTGTTTATGCTTCCTGAACAAAATGTTAGAGCAAAGAAAGAAGTGACAACCTTGAGTAGAGCAGTATTAACACTTCACTTGGAAATTGCTATATTCTGGATGGACATTTGCAGACCTCTGTATTCCTACTATCTCGTGTATAGATCACTGCACCAGAAATAGCAGGTTGTTTTTGTGGCTATGTTATTTTCATTTTTTTTTCTTTGCAGTGCTAAATATGTAAAATAGTGAAAGGACACTTGAATTCTATCCTAGAGCTTTTCTATCAGAATTCATAATCTAGTTAGTCCACTGCTTTGGCCTTTATTACTTACCACTGAGAGATTCTTGGCTTTATCAATTATTAAGTTAGGAGATCAATATAGAGAAAACAGGTGAGATTTGCATCTAATCAGATTTGTTACATGGTGATAGTTAGAAAATTAGTTTTAAGAACAAGGTTGAAGCCCTAGCCGGTTTGGCTCAGTGGATAGAGCGTCAACCTGCAGACTGAAGGGCCCCAGGTTTGATTCCAGTCAAGGGTATGTACCTTGGTTGCGGGCACATCCCCGGAAGGGGGTGTGCAGGAGGCAGCTGATCCGATGTTTCTCTCTCATCGATGTTTCTAACTCTCTATCCCTCTCCCTTCCTCTCTGTAAAAAGTCAATAAAATATATTTTTAAAAATTAAATAAATAAAAAAGAACAAGGTTGAAGAGATTGGCTAAAATGAATACTGTATTTCCCAAGTTGTACTTTTTGTTCCCACAATTTAATGCCACTATAATTGTCATGTTCTAAAATCAGTGCATATATTTAATATGCTCATGGTTTTCCCCCTTGAAAAACTTATTAAATAATATCTTTAAATGAATGGCATTTTAGAATTAAGAAAATAAAGCATTATAGATCCTTTTAGTATATTGATTTGTATGATCTATTATTACTAATATAGATTCTTGAGAGATGACTGTTAAGATTTGTATGCTTCATAAATTATTTTGGAAACTGCAAAATTTTGTATAAATTGTACTTTCATAAATAAAAATCCATTTATATGCACAGAGAACACTTTGTTAAAGACCCTAGCCCAGCCGGGTGTAGCTCAGCGGTTGAGCGTCGACCCAGGAACCAAGAGGTCACCGGTTCGATTCCTGGTCAGGGCATATGCCCAGGTTGCGGGCTCGATCCCCAGTGGAGGTCCTGCAGGAGGCAGCCAATCAATGATTCTCTCTCATCATTGATGTTTCTATCTCTCTCTCCCTCTCCCTTCCTCTCTGAGATCAATAAAAATATATTTTAAAAAAAAAGACCCTAGTAAACTGATTTATTTTATAAAGATTTTTTTGAAAAAGGAAAATTGTAGCTTTTTGTAAAGAACACTTTTTTATGTGAACACTCCCTTCCCAATTTATCTTTATCTTAAATGTGTGCTTTTAGACACTGTCTAATAAAAACACCTACCTTGGTCACAAACACCCATTGGTCACACACATTTGTTAACAACCTCAGTATATTTGTTAATTTGATTTCAGAGAGTATCCAATTAAAATGTTTTTAAAAATCTAAAACTATTAATGTGTTTAATATGCATGTATAGCTACTAAATAAACTTTTTGTGTTTTTTTTCCTTGTATGCTTTTAAAATAAAATTTAAAATAATAACTTGCATCTGAAGACTTTATTGGCTTTACATAAAACTTTATTCTAGTTGACCACTTCTAACTTTTGCTCTAACTCATATAAGGGGAAAATTAAAAGGGCATCATGAAGAAGGAATATAATATTTATTAGTTGACCCAGATTTGTATGCACAAAATCTCAAAATTCACAGTATGGCTTTTCTAATAATGTCATTTTCTTATGTATTCATTGGCTTCACTAATGTGGTAACACAAAAAATAGTATAGAAATGGTTAAAAATTAGGCTAGTCAAACTGAATCCACAAAACATACAGTTTTTATCCTCACTATGACAGTATTTAAAGATATTTTGGCAAACATGAATTTACTTTGACGCTATTTTTTAAAAAAAATATATTTTATTGATTTTTTATAGAGAGGAAGAGAGAGGGATAGAGAGAAACATCGATCAGCTGCCTCTTGCACACCTCCTACTGGGGATGTGCCCGCAACCAAGGTACATGCCCTTGGCTGGAATCGAACCTGGGACCTTTCAGTCCGCAGGCTGACGTTCTATCCACTAAGCCAAACCGGTTAGGGCTGACGCTATTTTAAAATACACTTATTTTAGCCTGTCCGATGTGGCTCAGTGGATGAATGTTGACCCATGAATCAGGAGGTCACAGTTCGATTCCTGGTTAGGGCATATGCCCAGATTGCGAGCTCCATTCTGTCCGGGAGCGTGCAGGAGGCAGCCTATCGATGATTGTCTCTGATTATTGATGTTGCTATCTCTCTCCCTCTCCCTTTCTCTCTTTCTGAAATATATATACATTTCTGTGTGTGTGTGTTCTTTAAAAAAAGTAAAATACATTTACTTTATTCATTTTCTACAGTAAAGTTATAGAGAATAATCCATCTAATCAGCAACAGTAGCTGATTCATTTCTCCTTTTTTGACTCCTCTCTTTAGGCTTATATTTCATAGCCTAAAGTCATCACAAAAAGAAAAGAAAAATCTCCTCTAAAAGGAGGAGACAAATTCTTAAACCACCTTAGAAACTTGACAGGACACTCTAACTTCATAAGGGCAAAGCTTACCCCATAAGTTAATTAGTTCTAATGAGGAAAAGTATTTACATTGAATATAGTAAATTTCTTTTTAATTTGGGATTTAGTTTACTTGTTTGAAAGAACTTTTTCTGCATTATGCCTTTTTTTGGATTAGATATATAAAAGGTAGATAATCTAATATTGGGGAATTTTCTGAGATTTCCCAAATACAGGGATATTTATAGGTTCAGCCTATTTTCTAATACCTAAGTCTATAAGACTATTGAAGGATAATGATACTACAGCATTGTGAAATTCTGCAGAACTTTCAGGATTATTTAAAAAATGAAGTATATCCCTGGCCCGGTGGCTCTGTTGGTTAGAGCATTGTCCTGATGCGCCAAGGTTGTGGGTTTGTTTCCCATTCAGGGTACATATAAGAAAGCAACCAATGAATACATAAGTGGAACAACAATTCCACATTTCTCGCCCTAGAAATCAATCAATAAAAAGTAAAAAATGAGATGCCTGGTCGGAATGGCTCAGTGGTTGAGCATCGACTTATGAACCAGGAGATCACGGTCCAATTCCTGGTCAGGGCACATGCCTGGGTTGTAGGCTCAATTCCCAGTGTGGGGCATGCAGGAGGCAGCCGATCAATGATTCTCTCTCATCATTGATGTTTCTGTCTCTCTCTCCCTCTTCCTTCCTCTCTGAAGTCAATAAAAATACATAATAAAAAAAAATAAATAAATATGGTCAATGTATTTTATTATATTTTGATTAAAATCATTAATCCATGTATTATGCATGTAACTAATAGGTAACTAGAATAATAAGCTAATTTTTTACATAACAGTTTGTTTCCCAATCATGAAAAAAATTTACTTATTTTGGGATATTGTGAAAATACCTTCATCTCTGGAGAAGAACTCATTAGTTTATCAATAAGACTCTGAAAGCACATGTTGAAGGTGGAACCGATATTGTCTTTTTTGTTTGTAGGAAAGACAGTTTTGTGATGAGTGCTAAAATAATTATGAAAATAGTTATCTTTGGTACTAATAGGTCTTTGTGTGACTTTTACCTTAGTATAATAAAAGTTAATCATTTGGGATACAGACAGAAAGATTTGATACACATTGCAATAACTTTTCAAATATTTTAAGGACCATCTATAGAACTGCGCCAAAGAAAAAAGCCAAAATCTTCAGAAAATAAAGAATCTGCCAAAGAAGAGAAAATTGATGACACTCCAGTTCCTGAAAGAGCTCCAAAACGTAAGTTAGATAGATTTGGAGTTTTTGTGCTACTGCAAAAATACAGTTATGCTAGGTAGTATATTTTATATTAATACTTTAAATGTAGATACATATTTTGTGTTTAAGATGTGGTGGTACCAGACAACTTCCATTAGATTTTGCTATAGAACCACCTCTAAATTTCACTTATTTATAACACACTTTAATACCATTCTAAAGTCAGGAAATTTAAAGTAGAAACACTGTAAGTTGGGGAGTGTCTGTATAAGATTTGGTTGAATATATTTTTTTCTAATAGCATTTGATAATTAGGATTAGCTTGCTATTGTGTAAGACTAAATGAAACACACACACACGCACACACACACAGGAAAAGATCCATGTTTAGAAACTTTGAAGAACTTTTGCCAAACTGCTGCCATAAATAAGTTTTCTTATTTTGTTTTTACTGAGCTCTTACTATCTGCCAGGCCAGATGCTTTACACATGCTATTGGAAACAGTAATTTTAAAATAATTTTATCATACAGATACTATTTGATTTACTGGGTAGGGTTTCTCAAGCATTTTGATTATAATTCATATTAATTTAGTGATATCTAAGTAGGCTTTAATGTCTCTAATATGCTGTGCAAACTAACATTTATGAAATAATATAATGAAAATAGCTAAGATTTTAGTTTATCTAAACAAATAAATCAACAAGTTGATTTTTATAAACTTCCAGTCATTCAGTAGCAGAACACTAGGCTTTGGTCCTTTAGACCCATGCTTATATTTAATCTTAATAGTTATAGCAGGACTAAATCATCTTGTGTGTAGAAAATCCAAGTATGTTTTATGTTAGTTCATCAAGAAATTGTTACATATACATAACAGTTGTATATGAAGTTTTAAATACATAATCATCAAAAGTCATTGAATTGTACATTTTATTTTATTTTTGTATATATATTTATTTTTTTTCATTGATTTTTAGAGAGAGTGGAAGAGAGAGGGAAAGACAGAGAAAGATCGATGTCATAGAAACACATTGATTGGTTGCCTCCTGCACGAGCCCTGACCAGGGCCCTGGGCCAGGAAGGAGCCTGCAACCGAGACACTTGACCTTCACCGTAATCGAATCCAGGACCCTTTGGTCCGCAGGACATCACTTTATCCACTGAGCCAAAGCAGCTAGGGCTATTTTATTTATTTTATGTTTTTATTGATTTCAAAGAGGAAAAAAGAGTGAGAGAAAGATAGAAACATCAAAGATGAGAGAGAATCATTGATCGGCTGCCTCCTGCTTGCCCCACACCAGGGATCGAGCCTGCAACCCGGGCATGTTCCTTGACCAGGAATTGAACCATGACTTTCTGGTTCATAGGTTGATGCTCAACCACTGAGCCACGCTGGCTGGACAAATTGTACATTTTAAATAGCTGTAGTTTATAGTAAACTGTTCCTCAATAAAGAAAAAGATTCCTGGATAAGAAAAAAATATCAGTAGTAATTCTGATTGAACCTATTTTTTCTTTAGATATTTGGTATTGTAGTACATTCTACTTAATCCTTTTTAAAATGAATAGATTTTTAAAAAATATGTTTCATTTATAGAAGAAATGAGCAGATAGTACAGAATTCCCAAGTTACCATCCCCCCCCCCCCACGGAGTTTTCCTTATTATTATTATTTAACTAGAGGCCTGTTTCACGAAATTCATGCATGGTGGGGGGGGGGGGGTTCCCTCAGCCCGGCCTGTACCCTCTCACAATCTGGGACATCCCTCTCGCAATCTGGGACCCCTGGCTCCTAACTGCTGGCCTGCCTGCCTGCCTGATAGCCCCTAACCACTCTGCCTGCCTCATTGCCCCTAACCACTCGCCTGCCTGCCTAATCCCCCCTAACCCCTCTACCTGGTTGCCCCTAACTACTCTGTCTGCCTGCCCAATGCCCCTAACTGCTTGCCTGCCTGCCTGATTGCCCCTGACCACTCTGCCTGCCTGCCTGCCTGCCTGCCTGATCGCCCCTAATCGCCTCTGCCTTGGCCCCTGTCGCTGCAGCTTCATCCGGAAGGACGTCCAGAAGGTCATTCGGCTGTTTGGTCTAATTAGCATATTAGCTTTTTATTATATAGGATATTAGTAATGTATGTTGGTTACAATTAATGAACCAGTATTGATACATTATTTTAAACTAAAGTCCATATTTTATTCAGATTTTTTTGGTTTTTGCCTAATGTCTTCTTTCTGTTCCAGGATACCATCTAGGATATATTACATTCAGTTGTCATGTCTCCTTAGACTCCTCTTGGCTGTGACTGTTTTGCAGGCTTTGTTTTTGAGGGCCTTGGCAGTTTAGAGGAATAGTGTTCAGGTATATTATAGGATGCCCCTCTGTTGGAGTTTGTCTGCTGTTTTTCTCAGAATTACACTGGGGCAATGGGTTTTGGGAAGAAAGACCATAGAGTTAGAATGCCATTTTCATCACATCATATCCACATCATATCATAACTTTTAATTACTTTGTCTTTTTTAATTGAAGTTCATAAATATAGATATCATCTACATCTAATTACTTTTAATATGCTTTTTCAGATGTATTATTTCAGCGCTTTGCAAAGATTCTCATTGGCTGTCTTGCAGCAGTTACTAGCGGTATGATGTATGCTCTCTATTTGTCAGCGTACCATGAGCGGAAATTCTGGTTTTCCAACAGGCAGGTAAGAAGAAAGACTTTCGAGCATATAAGAGTTTTTTTAGTACTTAATATTAATTTAACTAATTTGCTTTTCCAGGGAGCCCAAATAGTGTGATAAGTATGACAAGTGTTTTCTTATTTTTAAAAAAATATATATTTTATTGATTTTTTACAGAGAGGAAGGGAGAGGGATAGAGAGTTAGAAACATTGATGAGAGAGAAGCATCGATCAGCTGCCTCCTGCACACCCCCTACTGGGGATGTGCCTGCAACCAAGGTACATGCCCTTGACCGGAATCAAAGCTGGGATCCTTTAGTCCCCAGGCCCGCTCTATCGTATATATGAGCCAAACCAGCTAAGCCAGTGGTTGGCAAACTCATTAGTCAACAGAGCCAAATATCAACAGTACAACAATTGAAATTTCTTTTGAGAGCCAAATTTTTTAAACTTAAACTATATAGGTAGGTACATTGTTATTAACCTACCTATATAGTTTAAGTACTGTTGATATTTGGCGCCTCCCTGTGCTGCGTATTCTGCGGCCCACCTGCGCCCCGTCTCCCGTCACCCCCCACTTCTTCTAACGCCACTCCTTCAAAATAGACTCACCCAGGACGAAAACGGACTTCTGCGCATGGGCCACAAAGTTTCAATCGCACTGTATGTGCGCGCCCGCACGTGGTATTTTGTGGAAGAGCCACACTCAAGGGGACAAAGAGCCGCATGTGGCTCGCGAGCCACCGTTTGCCAACCACTGGGCTAGGGCAAGTGTTTTCTTATTTATAGCCATTAGAAACAAAATGGTTTAAAAGCTGTTTTGAGAACACTCATGGTATCAACCTTGAAAATTTTAATGTATATATTTTAAGGCCATAGAATAGAAATATGAGGATGCTTTCCTTCATGCAATTAATTTATCAGGGACTTTTGGTGGCAGTGAAATGATGAGGAGTTTACTCAGCTTTTTAGTTTTCAGAAACAATCTGAAAATTTCAGGATCAAAATATATTTTTAGCCTGGCCAGTGTGGGTCAGTGGTTGAGCGTCGACCCATGAACCAAGAGGTCACGATTCGATTCCTGGTCAGGGAACAGGCCCAGGTTGCCAGCTAGATCCCCTGTAGGGGGAGCCAATCAGTGATTCTCATCATTGATGTTTCTATCCCACTCCCCCTCTCCCTTCCTCACTCTGAAATCAATAAAAACATTTTTTAAAAACCCCAAAACTTCGACCTACTTAAAGGAAAATTCAAACATATCTTTGAATAAATGGATAAATAAGTAGTATTAGTTTAGAACAGCGGTTCTAAACCTGTGGGTTGCAACCCCTTTGGGGGTCGAACGACCCTTTCACAGGGGTCGCCTAAGACCATCGGAAAACACATATATAATTACATATTGTTTTTGTGATGAATCACTATCCTTTAATTATGTTCAATTTGTAACAATGAAAATACATCCTGCATATCAGATACTTACATTACGATTCATAACAGTAGCAAAATTACAGTTATGAAGTAGCAACGAAAATAATTTTATGGTTGGGGGTCACCACAAGATGAGGAACTGTATTAAGGGTCGCGGCATTAGGAAGGTTGAGAACCACTGGTTTAGAAGATGAGAGTGATGGAAGATAGCAGTTGAAATTTAGGACACTGGTATTTAAATAATCATTATATTTTCTTTTAGGAGCTTGAACGAGAAATCACATTCCAGGGTGACAGTGCCATTTATTACTCTTATTATAAAGATATGTTAAAGGCACCTTCATTTGAAAGAGGTATGATAAGTATATTTATATTTTTAATAATAATGTTTTTATTTTAAAATAAAACATTTTTTCCCAGCCGAAATGGCTCAGTTGGTTGAGCATCATCATCCTGACCAAAGGGTTGCGGGTTCAATTCCTGGTCAGGGCACATACCCAGGTTTTGGGTTTGGTCCCAAGTCGGGGCACATACAGAAGGCAACCATTTGGTGTTATCTCTCATATCAATCTCTCTCTCTCTCTCTCGCTCTCTCGCTCTCTCTCTCGCTCTCTCTCTCTCCCCTCTTCTTCTCTCTAAGCATGTCCTCAGGTGAAGTTAAATAAATAAATAAATATAAAATAAAACATTGTTCTTCTGTATCGTAGCCTTTGATTGTAGAGATTTGTCTCAGAATATAGATATTGTTCTTCCTTATACTTAATAAAATAATTAGAAAAATGAGACACAGTGTTATTTTGGGATTTTTCTTGATATTAACTTAAAATATTCAATGACTTCTGAATGACATGTTGAGTTATCATAAAAGCAGAATAAATAACCTAGAGAAAAATATTTCTGTCTTTAGGTGTTTATGAACTGACACATAATAACAAAACTGTATCTCTGAAGACTATAAATGCAGTGCAACAAATGTCTCTATATCCAGAACTTATAGCCAGTGTTTTATACCGAGCAACTGGTAGCAACGTATGTGTTTTTCTTTTTATTATAATATTTATTATCTCACATACTTATGAATCCTCAAAGTTACTTGATGTAATTCTATTATCTTCTTATCTCTCTATTTTTTTCAATTAGGAGATTATTGAGCCAGTATATTTCTATATTGGTATTGTTTTTGGATTGCAAGGAATATATGTTACCGCTTTATTTGTTACAAGTTGGCTTATGAGTGGAACCTGGCTAGCAGGAATGCTTACTGTTGCATGGTTCATTATTAACAGGTAAGAAAGGTGTTTTTAATTAAGTTTTACAACTTGCTGTGTCTGTGGTAGTCAGTTCTAAAAATGCTCTCCCCCTGACTCTCATCTTTTATATGGCACTGTTGACCTTACGTAGGAAGATTACCCACTGGGCCTGATCTAATGGGGTGAGCCCCTAAAAGCGGAGAGCTTTTTCCAACTAGTGCAGAGATAGTTTGAAGCATGAGAAGGGTTTGCTGTTCTGTTGCTGGATTGAAGTGAGGAGGAAATGACTTTTCCCAATAACTATTGCGCTCATAAAAGGACTACAAATACAGATGATAACTGCAGCCCTAGCTGATGCTTTGATTTTAGCTTAGGGAGTCTCTGAGCAGAGAATCTAGACAACTGCTGGATTTGTGACCTAATAAATCTGTGCTGTGTTGTTTTGTTTCTTTAAAGATTTTTTTTAATGGATTTTTAGAGATAGAGGAAGGGAGAGGGAGAGAGAGATAGAAACATCGATATGAGAATGGAACATCGATCAGCTGCCTCTTGCATGACCCCTACCGGCTATTGGGCCCAAAACCTGTGCATGTGCCCTGACCTGGAATCGAACCAGCAACCTTTTGGTTTCGAGATATGTTTTAAGCCACTACATTTGTGGTCATTTGTCATTCAGCAATTGGAAAATAATATACCCACTTTGTATCTCTTTTTTCAGATATAATGACATTGACATATATAGATATACCTCTTCTATTTAAGGTTGAGGACATAAGCTTCACGAAAAGAAGAGGCATCAGATACATCACTATTAAGTTAACTACCACAGATAACTATTCAATATTAATCGATGGCAGTGTGCTTTGGTTTTTATTTTATTTTTTTATTGGTTTTAGAAAGAGGGAGAAACACTGATTTGTTGTTCTACTTATTTATGCATTCATTGGTTGAGTGAAACTGAGATTGACTGCTAGTTTAGGGGATGACAGTCTGACCTCTCCATTGTTTTCCTCTTAAGACTAGAAAATAATCTGTGCATTGTTTTGGGGTACCAAATGAATTTCCTTTTCACCATTAACCATTTACTTAAGGGTTGTAGCTCCAGTTAGTAATCTTTGCCAAAATTAGTGATTTCATTCAGGTTATAAAATTATATTTTTCTATTTTCATTAGCTACATTCTTCATTATTCTTTTTATTTGTCTTGTTTTGTTAGTCCTCACCCGAGGATATTTTTCCATTGATTTTTAAGGAGAGTGGAAGAGAGAGGGAAGGAGAAAGAAACATTGATGTGAGAGAAACACATCGATTGGTTGCCTCCTGTACGAGCCCCGACCAGGGCCTAGGCCGGGGAGGAGCCTCCAACCAAGATACATGCCCTTGACCAGAATCGAACCCGGGACCCTTTGTTCTGCAAGCCGACGCTCTATCCACTGAGCCAAACCAGCTAGGGCATTTTCTTCATTCTCCAAAGGTAGAGTTTTTCTTTATTAGCCAGGGTTCTTTATCTGTCTTCAAATTCACTTACTATTTGAAAGTCAGACAAATGGTTAACGTCACTTGACCAATTTCTATATGTGTTTGTAGCTGTCTCCAATTGTGAAAAGAAACTTTTCTGCTGTTCTCCCTCTCTCTCTTTTTTTGGTTAATTCTCACCTGAGGATGTTTTCCAATGATTTTTAGAGAGAGTGGAAGGGAGGGGGAGAGTCAGAAAGAGAAAAACATCCATGTGAAAGAGACACATTGATTGGTTGCCTCCCGCAGGCTCCTGACTGGGGCCGGGGATGGAGCCTGCAACTGAGGGACATGCTCTTGATCAGAATCAAACCCAAGACCCTTCAGTCCGAGGGCTAATGCTCTAACCACAGAGCAAAACTGGCTAAGGCAGTATTCTCTTTTTAAATATCTTTCTCTACTTAGGAATTTTCATTGGCTCAATAGGACTAAATACATTACCATGATTGTTCTTTTAGTTGCTCAAAATGTCACAACTTTGGTCAATAGGAGTCTTTTCAGGCTGACTTCTGAGTTCTTTTGACACATCTTCATTAATCTTTGCAAGCTTTCTTGCTTTTTGACTAAACAAGCAGGCTGACCTTGTATATCCCCTGTGAAAGATTTGGAATTAGCTATTTCTCTAAGGATAGCTCTGGTTGCTTTTAGTATAGAACAGTACTAGAAAAAAAAAAGAAGAATAGTACTAGAGAATTTGGTGTGGATGCTAGGGGGATAAAATGATTTCTTGTTATGTCAGAAAGTACCTGTTAGAGAATATATAAATTTCTTGATGTTTTATATTTATTTTAGAGAGAGAGGAAGGGAGAAGAATAGAGAGAGGGAAGGAGAAACATCAGTGAGAGAACATCGATTGGCTGCTTCCTGCATGCATTCCCACTGGGGATGGAGCCCACAACCTGGGCATGTGCCCTGACCAGGAATCAAACTTGCGACCTCTTGGTTCATGGGTCGATGCTCACCACTGAGCCATGCTGGCCGGGCGAGAATATTTTAAGTTGCATGTACTTTTCTAAAATTCTGTTGGATTCATTTTTAGAAATGTAATAGCCAACTCACAGAAAGACATTTCAGTACTCATAGACTAAGTCTAGAAAGTCTTGCTTTTTAGAGTGAAAAGGTTTTTATTACAAAATAAGCATTATTATTTTTTTTTATTTAAAAAAATTTTTTAAAAAAATATATTTTATTGATTTTTTACAGAGAGGAAGGGAGAGGGATAGAGAGTCAGAAACATCTATGAGAGAGAAACATCGATCGGCTGCCTCCTGTACACCCCCCACTGGGGATGTGCCCGCAACCCAGGTACATGCCCTTGACCGGAATCGAACCTGGGACCTTTCAGTTCGCAGGCTGACGCTCTATCCACTGAGCCAAACCAGTCAGAGCAATAAGCATTATTTTTAATGTAGACCTCCTAAAAAATTTTCTTGATTATGTAATTTATTAGTTTTTGCTGTATTAACAAATCATCCCCAAACTTAACAGTTTAAAACAATGAACATTATCTTACACAATTTCTTCTTTTTTTAAAATATATATTTTTATTGATTTCAGAGAGGAAGGGAGAGGGAGAGAGAGATAGAAACCTCAATGATGAGAGAGAATCATGGATCGGCTGCCTCCTATATACCCCCCACTAGGGATTGAGCCTACAACCCAGGCATGTGCCCTTGATCGGAGTCGAACCCAGGGCCCTTCAGTCCTTAGGCTGATGCTCTATCCACTGAGCCAAACCAGCCAGGGCTATTCTTATACAATTTCTGAGGCTCAGGAATCAGGAGTGGCTTAGCTGGGTGGTTCTGGTTCTGGGCCTCTGATGAGGTTGCAGTCAGGAGTTGGTTGGGGCTGCAGTTATCTGGCAGCTTGACTGGCCTGGACCATTTACTTCCAGTTTCACTCCTGTGGCTGTTTATAAGAAGCCTCACTTCCTTGCTGGCCTAGAAGGCCTTCGTTTCTCATCACATAGCCCCTCCACAGGGCTATTCACAACTTGGCTGCTGGCTTCCTTAGAGTGAATGATCCAACGAGTGTGCATTGAGTGTGCCATAGTGGAATCCAGATACGTTTCATAACTTAATCTCAGAAATGATATGCCATCACTCTGCCATATGCAGGGGTGGGCAAAAGTTGTATGTATGGAAAAATATCTATAATAATAAAAGCATAATATGCTAATTAGACCAAATAGCTGAACGACCTTCCGAACGTCATTCCGGATGAAGTCGCAGTGGTGGGGGCCGAGGCAGAGGCGGTTAGGGGTGATCAGGCAGGCATGCAGAGTGGTTAGGGGCGATCAGTCAGGCAGGCAGGAGGGCGAGCGGTTAGGAGCCAGTGGTCCCGGATTGTGAGAGGGATGTCCCATTGCCAGTTTAGACCCCGATCCCGCAGGGATCTCTGCAGGATCGGTGCCTAAACTGGCAGTTGGATATCCTCTGAGGGATCCTGGATTGTGAGAGGGTGTAGGCCAGGCTGAGGGATGCCCTCCCCCCCACCCCCGTGCATGAATTTTTGTACTGGGCCTCTAGTATAATATAAGAATAAATAATAATACAAGAATAAACTTTCACATACTCACTACTTTTACCCACCCCTGTACTATTCATCACATAGACTAACTGGTACACTGTGGAAAGTGACTACACAGGGTATTTGTTTGTTTGTTTCCTGATAAAATGTTAGAAATTTCTTTATTATTACTTATTAAGCACCAGCTTAATATTGCAGAAAATTTCAAATCACCCTTTGACAGTTCATTCTCCCCCCCCCCCAAATTCTTGATAATGAGCTTTTCAAGTAAAGATACGTTCTCTTTTCTCTTCTGTATAAAAGTTTATAAAATAAAGGCGAAGAACTGTGTATATCTTGCTGTAAAATGCTGCCATGGCTGTGGGAACAGAGTCTGCCCAGCTCTCCTTACTGTCCAGGTCCTGAGCGACTCCTGCTCATGAACTGTCTCCTCACAAAGCACGCCCGCCACTGGCTGGGTGTATCGTCCTGAGGGCAAAAACTCCCTCAGTCTCAGTCAGGCTCTCGCCTCAGCCACTGCAGATGGGCCCTCATCACTCCGTCTGCCTGTATGCGTGCAGGTTTGGCGTAAATTGTGTTAAGTGGAGCAGCAGGCTCTCCTGGCATGAGAAAATTAGTGACTCCCAGTGTATACATTTCTTTCTCACCTTGGCTGTTGGAATTGCACTTTTGGAGTTTCTTTAGACACAAAATTGAACTCAGAGCATGCCAATCTCTGTGAATGTGTCTGCAGGTCTATGAACCCCACTTGACCTAACGAATGTTTTGAACTGCTGTTTTGTGCTGCTATCTGCTAGACTCAGTCACTGGGGAGAACAAGTGGGTTTCATTTGATTTTGTCACATCCCACTGTTAGCCTTCTGGTCCTCACCGCAAGCAAGGGGAGGGGAAGAGAGTGAGTAGCACAGATGTTCTGGAAGGTAGCAGTGAGGAGGCTTGTGCAGGGGTAGAGAATAATTGGCAGAGAGTCTACTCAGTTTGTGCTATCGTGACTAGAGGAGAAGGATCCCTTCATCTCCTCCCCAGAAAGTGTTTGTGGAGCAGAGTTTTAAAGATTTTACTGCACTAATTTGTGAGTTGGACAGTGCTAGAACCTTTGGAACAGGGATTGCTGGATTAAGCTCCCCAATTCTGGGCTGATGGAGTGGTTGACTCTGTCTATGTCTACATCACAGGATTGTTATGGAGAACAATGAGATGTGTGGGAAAGTGTTTTGATAAGTATAGTGTTACACAAATATAATGTCTTGCTATTTTGCTCTTTATCTGTGGTTTATTTTAGGATGGATACAACAAGAATTGAATACTCCATTCCTTTAAGAGAAAACTGGGCACTACCATATTTTGCATGCCAAATTGCTGCACTTACCGGCTATTTAAAAAGCAACTTAAATACTTATGGAGAGGTAAGATAGAATTTTGTTGTTTTGGTCATAAGTTGGGATTTATTTTCATTAATCATACAAATAATTTTGGGGGGTAAGATACAAATTTATTTCTCACAATTCTGACATATTACAAATCTGGTACATACTTTTAAAGCTAATAATGAATTAAATTCAATGAAGCTTAGTTACTACATAATAAATGATATAGTTAGGTAGTCCTGATATAAATAACATTGTTATTCTGCATTCTAATTGACAATAAATTATTTTTTAGGAGAAAGGAGATATATTGTTTTAGTACAGTTACTTGACAAATATATGAATAATATCTTATTTTGAAAATCTCATTGTTATTTTGCCATTTCTCTCACTTCGGTAGCACTGATGGCTTTTAGTCATCACAAGTTAAAGAAATATTAATGAAATATAAAAAGTGTCTACAAATGACAGCAACATTAACTATTATGGTAGCACTGCATATCTTTCTGTTTACCTTTGTTTTCTGTGATGAGGTGTAGGTAGGTTATTGAGTTTCAGGAGACTGTACCAGATAGTTTAGATTTTTTCTTTTGTTATTGTTGCCATAAATCCTTTTGGTAGTCAGATGAAGCTTACAGACTCACTCAGAATAAAGATTTTTAAGTGCGTAAACTGAAATGTAGCAATCTTTTGACAATCTGCCTATCTTGGGTTAAAATTCCTACCTGGAAAAAAAATCATAAGGAACAAGGAAAGGCCTCTATTGAACCTGATTGGCTGGGAAATAAGATGCACTCTTTCTAAGATTTCAAAAAGAAATAAGGTTTCTTTTTGAAATCTCAGAAAAATGTACTGTGTTCTCTTCTACTTTCAGTGATGACAAATGCTCTGAGCATAGGAAACTTTTAATTTCATTTTTTATAGCTATAGTATTTTTTTTATGTAAAACTAGAGGCCTGATGCACAAAATTTGTACAAGGGCCCCAGCTTCGTCCTGAAGGTCGTCCAGAAGGTTGTTTTGCCATTTGGCCTAATTAGCATATTACCCTTTTATTAGTATAGATAACACTAACACATTTCAGATTTGTACATTTTGTTTTGCTGTGTTTGTATAAATAGCTCTCTGAACAAGAATATTTTCTTTCTTTTTTATGGTATTTATTTATTTATTTATTTAATTTATGTTTAAATTTTTATTGTTGAAAGTATTATGTAGGTACTCCTTCCCCTCCCAAACCTCTTCCAGCAATTTTTAAAAAATATATTTTTTTATTGATTTCAGAAAGGAAGGGAAAAGGAGAGAGAGATAGAAACATCAATGAGAGAGAATCATTGATTGGCTGCCTCCTGCGTATCCCCTACTGGGATCAACCTGCCATCCAGGCATATGCCCTTGACTGGAATCGAACCTGGGACCCTTCAGTCCACAAGCTGACGCTCTATCCACTGAGCAAAACTGGCTAGGGCAAGAATATTTTCTTTAATAGTCAGGGAGTCTGTCATTTAGTATTCTCCTGATAGATTGTGCAGCCTTGTAGGGAAGAACAATTCTTCAATTTATTGTTTTATTATTATTTTATTTTTTATTATTATGTAAAAAAACCTTTATTGTTGAGAATATTACAGATGTCCCTCTTTTTAAATGGAATTATATGGTATCCTTCAAGATTGTCTTTTTCCCTCAGCCCAGTGCTCTTAATATCCTCCCAAGACGTTGCATGTCAGTAGCTTGCTCCTTTTCATTGCTGGCAGTAGCGTATTTCTCACTCTGGAGGCTAGATCTCATGGTCCCGTTGCATCAGGCTATCCAAGCGCAGATAGCTTGTACAGTTACCTGAAGCCACCCAGAGGTGCCTGTGGTTGATTACTGAAATGCATTTAGTGTGTCACTTACGTTACATATAAAAAGGTTCATAATAAAGGCATAGTTGAAAAGGAACTGAGCAAGGTAAGGAGTAGTATATAAGAGTGCAGAGTTTTGAAAATGTTCAGAGAAAGGAATAACTTAGTTAATTGTACGGATTGTGTTTGATACGTATTTCTGTCTTATTTTCACTACATGTTCTTAAGTAGTTTGAGAATAAAATTAGCAGGGGTTTCAGTACAGTGTTGCTCTTCTCCAGCTTCCCCAAAGCATTCTCCAAATGGCCAGTAGGTCGGCTGGGTCTAGATCTGAGCCTTCATTGGTTTCTCTAACTGGATTCTCTGGGAATGGTGGTTTCAGGCCTGGTTATTGCAGTTCTGGTGGTTCCACATTAGAAGATTTCCAGAACACCTTCTCTTATAGCTGTTGTGATAGGAAGATCAGAAGCCCATGTGTTCTACAACACTGAGTCCTTCTGGGCCTTGCAGTTGGTATTCTTTGAACAACTGGTGGAAATTTTTCATCTCTTACTAGTACATTTTGTCTTCTGGTCTTAATCTTCTTCCGGATGCTGAAAAATTCTTATATCTGCTGATGGCCTGAGGTATTTCTGGCTGTGGAATTTATCACTGAGTATAGTCAGCTGAATCTGGGTGGTTTAGGTTTCTTGACTTGACCTTCTCCTTCACTGTTCTTATGGGAACACAGCCATTTGACACCATTGCTGACGGAAGAATTGGGAATGAAAGAGTAGATCCCTGGAGGTAAGACTGTTGTTAGAAATATGCTAAGGGACAGTAAATTTCTCACAGACTTGGTTGCTCACTAAGGCTCATTTGGGAGATGACGCTGGAAGGACAGAGTTGACTTTAGCCAGGCATATTTCACGCAGGGGCAATGAGATCCTTGTGTTTAGTTCTTCAGCCGTGGAAAACACCTAAGAGTTTTATGTGGTTGACAGTACGCTTTTGTTGAGAAGAAATTTAAATAGCAGTGTGCTTTTTCCACAAGCTGTGCAATAGGCTGAGTGAGACGCCAACATACTAATTAAGGAAAATATGAAGCGGGATGGAAGTGAAAATATTTTCTAGGGTGAAAAGAGTTACTTCCGCAATAAGAAAAGCCCACCAGAGCCAGGTCTAGTAAAGGCCACAGTTTTCTTATATTACTTTACCTCTTTGGTGATGAAAGAAAATTGTACTGAATTTTATTTTATTTTTCCCTTTGTCTTCTGAAATTCTCAGTGTGATGTTGAACTTTGAAGGATGTCATTGATTTCTCTCTAGAGTGCTTTAAGATCTTACTGTTTATGTCAGGATTTACTAATAATTTTGTTGTTTAGAAACAAAATTTTAAGAATTAGCTTAAAGTTGAACCAATAACAGAACTGCCACTTTGAGGTAACAACCTCATAGATATTTATAGTAATAATGCTATTGATATTTAGTTTCTTTCTTTTGTTTTCCCTAGAGGTTTTGCTACTTATTGATGAGTGCTTCAACTTACATGTTTATGATGATGTGGGAGTACAGCCACTACCTCTTGTTTCTTCAAGCAATATCTCTGTTTTTGCTAGATAATTTTTCACTGGAGCAAAGTGATAAGGTATTAATGGTATTTGAAATTGTGACTTTAAAATCAGAGAAATAAATGTTTTTATAGTGTTGTATCTAAAACCATCTAACTTTTAAGCTTTATTTTAAAATGTTTTAATAGTCTCTGATTTTATACTTCTCCAAAGATTGCTAAATTCATCTCCTCTATCCTTTTAGATGCACTTTGAAATTCCTTTAAACACGATCTGCTTAAACAAAGTCACCCTGTGCTTCCTCTCCATTTCTAGCCATTTCTCCTTCTTCTGTTTTTGTTTATTTAAAAAGAAAGAAAAGTGAAATATAGGACATGTACAAAAGAGTATATGTCTGGTGTATATACAGTATTAGAATATAATATGGGTATTTGACCACCCAGGCCTTGAAGTCGAGTATTTGAATAGCCTAGAAGCCCCTTTCTAACTCTTCCCCAATCCTATGCAGTTTCCTCCCCAACAGAGGCTAACTGTCCTGAATCTTGTTAATTCTTTCCTCTTTTTCTTTTGGTTTTTACCACCTAGCTATGTGTTCCTAAAAAAATAAGCTGTAACTCATTGTGTACTTTTATCTGATTTGCCTTTGAGATTCATCCATGGTGATGTACTGAGCTATATTTTATTCATTTATATTTATTTATTCTATTGTTGATGGAAATTTCAGGGGTTTTTTTCAGTTCATGTGCTGCTATAAGCATTCTTCTTTTTTTTTAATCCTCACCGAGGATATTTTTCTATTGATTTTTCGAGAGAGTGGAAAAGAAAGGGAAAAACAAAGAGAAATATCGATGTGAGAAAAACACATCGATTGGTTGCCTCCTGCACATGCCCTGGGGATCGAGCTTACACCCAAGGTATGTGCCCTTGACCAGAAACGAACCCGGGACCCTTCAGTCCTCAGGCCAGTGCTCTATCCATTGAGCCAAACTGGCTAGGGCAGGGATTTTTTTTCTTGCTGTTTTTTTGTTTTTTATTTTTTTACTTTTAACACTCTGCCTTTTTATTTCCCATCCCCACCCTAAACACCTATGCTTTGTCATATATATATATATAGATTTCAGAGAGGAAGGGAGAGGGAGAGAGAGGTAGAAACATCAACGATGAGAGTGAATCATTGGTTGGCTGCCTCCTACATGCCCCACACTGGGGATTGAGCCTGCAGCCTGGGCATGTGCCCTGACCAGGAATCAAACCATGATCTCCTTGTTCATAAATCGACTCTCAGCCACTGAGCCACGGCTGGGCCCTATGCTTTGTCTTAATTTTCCCTTTCTAAAATGAATTAACTTTACACCCTAGCTGGTTTGGCTCAGTGGATAGAGTGTCGGCCTGTGGACTGAAGGATCCCGGGTGCAATTCCAGACCAGGGCATGTACCTTGGTTGCAAGCTCCTCCCAGGCCTGGGCCCTGGTCAGGGTGTGTGCAGGAGGCAACCAATCGATCAGCTTCTCTCACATGGATATTTCTCTGTCTTTCCCTCTTTCCCTCCTTTCCTGTCTCTAAAAATCAATGGAAAAAAATATCCTCGTGTGAGGATTAAAATAATAATAAAACGAATTAACTTTTGGATAGGTTAAATTATTATACTATTGAATTTTAAAAAATAAATCTACTAAGACATAACTTTCCTGGGAGATCTTCTATTAAGACACTGAATTTAACTTCCTTATGCTCATTGTTAAATAGACCAAATGCAAAAATACTTTTCTCTGTTCCTACATGCTATGGCAGTATATTTTCATTGGGTAGATTTCTGGAACTGCTGCTAAAGGTTTATACAGTTTGATGTTGCATAGACACATTTTAACAACAAGGTAAGCCAAGTGAAATTAAGCCAGAGCCTGGGACTACAGAAAGTTCTTCCAGCAGACTTAGATGTCCTTAGTTTTAAAACTTTTAGCTTTGTTTGCAAGAATTCTTTCTAAGAAGGATGTGCTAAATTAATTACATAGCATAACATTAAAAAACGGATTGAACATTTGCACAATATTGTCCTAAATGATAATAGAGCATTTATCTTGTAATTATAGTAAAATCTAAACAAAACTAATGAAAATATGTACAATAAAATTCATTTTACTCTTATTTTATTTTTCTCCCTACAGGTTCATGAAGTTTATAAAATCTATATATTTTCTCTGTTTCTGGGATATTTACTGCAGTTCGAGAATTCAGCTTTATTGGTGTCTCCTTTATTAAGTTTAGTAGTAGCCTTAATGCTTGTTAAGTGCCTTCAGGTAATTAGAATTGCCTTTTTATCATTCTTATGGTGAATTTTTAAATTGTTAATTTTTTATGCCTCACTTCTTTGTTCATTTTATTCCCTTCCTCCCCCCACAGCTAAATGTGAAGAAAAGAACTTTCGTAGCTAAAATAATGAAATTTATTAATTTTTATTTGGTGTGTACTCTGACAGTGACATTGAATATTATAATGAAGGTAAGTACCGCTGTGTCTTTATGTAGCAGAACAAATGAAATAGAGTGGACTAAATTTTAATGAGGGTAATGAGATAGCAAGATAATAGTTTGTACAGTAAAATTTTGAGTTGACCAATGATCATGCCTAGCATATTAAGTTAGAAAATAGGATTATGGTTCTTTTCTGGATATACTTTAAAAATACATCTGCTTTATTTTCTATTTAATTTAAAGAGTCATTGTTATGCAGTTAACATTAAGTAATACATGAAATCAACTGAGATGAGTCAGAGTATTTGGAAGAGTAGGTAGGTTACTTAAGCCAGATGGGATAAGGTTGAAATCTTACTACCCCGTTATAGTTTTAGGCTTGAGTGTAAAGTAATGTGATGGACTTATGCGTATAGATCTCCTTGCTTCATGGTTACACCATGTATTATTTCATTCATATTTTTTGTTTTGTAGTCTTGCTGTGTTTTCTGTTTGTAGTATTGGACAATAGCATATTGCTGTAAGTATAGAAAATCGTTTTTTGTGGTAACTTGTGTTTTTCTCCTCCAGACATTTGTCCCACACAAAGAAAATGGGCACATGCTGAAATTCCTTGAAGTGAAACTTGGACTAAATATGACTAAGTAAGTTATAGATTACTTAAGTTTACCTAATTCTATACCACTTAGAACAGTGGTTCTCAACCTTCCTAATGCCGCAACCCTTTAATACAGTTCCTCATGTTGTGGTGACCCCCAATTTCATTGTTACAAATTGAACATAATAAAAGCATAGTGATTAATCACAAAAACAATATGTAATTATATATGTGCTTTCCAATGGTCTTAGGCGACCCCTGTGAAAGGGTCGTTCGACCCCCAAAGGGGTCGCAACCCACAGGTTGAGAACCGCTGACTTAGAAGATAAAGAACAAAAATAATCAAAGGAGGAAGTACACACCTAACTAAATACCACTTAGAAAATAAGTAATTTGGGATATTATATCTAGAAAAAATCTGACATTAAAAAAATTCTCTCATTAAAAAAATTCTCATTGAGGTCTTCTTGAAATTAGATAAAACCTCAGTAGCATCAAAGTATTTAGAGGTTACTTTCTCCCTTGATAAGGAATAATGGTGTAATCTAAGATCAGAATAAATGAAAGATTTCAAATGAATAAAGAACCACAGTAATTTTAACCACTACATTGGCAAAATGCTTACATGAAAAAGGGTATGGGGCCCAGCCAGCATGGCTCAGTAGTTGAGCATCGACCTATGAACCAGTTAGCGCGCATGCTGGGTTGCGGGCTCAATCTCCAGTGTGGGGTATGCAGGAGGCAGCTGATCAATGATTCTCTCTTATCATTGATATTTCTGTCTCTTTCCCCCTCTCCCTTCCTCTCTGAAATCAATAAAAAAAGACATATTTTTTAAAAGGATATGGGCACAAAAAAGGGGTTAGGCAGTAAGATATTTATTTCATAGCGAAGAATCTCATCTTGGGGTTACAACGGTGATTGGAGAAGAAGCTGACTTTTTATGAGACTGACACACTGCCTGCTGCACTAAGAGGACAGCTAAGAAGCTGACATTTTTTAAAATTCAAGTATAGTGTTTTGCCTTTTTTGTTTGTTTGTTTGTTAAATACATTTTTAAAGCCTAAAATGAAATACATGATTTTACATACTGACAGAGTCTACTTGCATAACAGGAAATATATTTTACCTGCACATTTCTCTAATTCATATAATATACCTCAGAACCATATTATCATTTGCTGCAATTACATGGGATTTTAGATACTGTGCATGTAATTTCAGGTTGTGATATACCACAGTTAACAAAATATTTGGCATGGTTTAAACAATGGAGAAGTCTTCTGAAGTGTAAGCCATATACATACGTATGTCTAAGATAAAATGATCCTTTAGAAGGCCATGTTCTATATTAGAAAGCCCTGATTGATATTGGTATATGTAGGCCTTATACATAGCAAGCAATTAGTAAAAATTGGTTGTAGACATTTGTAATTTTCTGCCCTTTTCACTGACTTTCTTTCCCTTTAACCTTGGAAGACTCTAGAATGAGCCTAGGATTAAGGGCTGCTTTTGTCCTTGTTTCTTAGTTGATATTATGTCAGCCCCTTTATTCAGCATGTCAGCTTCTAGACTTATTTCACAAGGTAATGTATTATGTGTTTTAAGAATAAGACATGGCCTTAGCTGGTTTGGCTCAGTGGATAGAGTGTTGGCCTGCAGACTGAAGGGTCCCAGGTTCAATTCCGGTCAAGGGCACATGCCCGGGTTGCAGGCTGGATCCCCAGTGGGGGCGAAAGGGGGGGGCGTACAGGAGGCAGCCAATCAATGATTCTCTCTCATCATTGATATTTCTATCTCTCTCTCCCTCTCCCTTCCTCTCTGAAATTAATCTGTATATATAAAAGCCTAAGCAACCATTTGACCAGTAGCTATGATGCGCACTGACCACCAGGGGGCAGATGCTCAACACACAAGCATGGAAACGTGGAACAGACTGATGAATCTCAGAGGGAAGGTGGGGAAAGGGTGGGAAGAGATTAACCAAAGATCTTATATGCATACTAGAGGCCTGGTGCATGGATTCAGTGCATGGATTCATGCAGCAGGGGAGTCCCTTGGCCTTGTCTGCGGGGATTGGGCCGAAACTAGCAGTCTGACATCCCCCGAGGAGTCCCAGATTGCAAGAGAGCGCAGGCCAGCCAAGGGACCCCACCGGTGCACGAATCCATGCACCGGGCCTCTAGTAAAAATATATATATATTTTTAAAAAGAATAAGATATGGTTCCTGTCCTTAAGAATATTGCCATCTCATTAAATACTTTCTTTTCTTCTTTTTCATTAATAGTTTTTGTACAAATAATAACATGGCTGGTATAAACAGTAAATGCCCTATGCTGAAGTGTGCCAATTGGATATTAGGATTTGGAGTTCACCAGTATTTTAGGAAACATTTCTGTTGAGACAGACTTTCAGGAACCACTAATGAAATGTTAATAAATATTTATTGGATATGCAGGAACTAGGCCAGGTATTCTAAGGGTTAAAAAAATGACTGCAATCTAACATATGGCAGATTGCATTAAGGACGATCATTGAGGGATAAGTAAAGTGCTGTGGGAATATTGAGAAGGAAAGGCTGAGACTGGGGGTATGGAAAGAATACTCATTAAATTGGGATTTGAATTGGACCATTATAGAATTAATAACTTTAATAGGCAGATTTTAAAAATGTGCCTTTATTGTAAGTGCAAGATATTTTGATGGCAGCTTCTTTGATACAGCTGTATTGCTGTTTAACACATTGTGAAACATTAACCTTTTATTCTAAATTCAGTGATTTTTTAAGCAGGCATTCTCCATGAGTCCATGAGCACTTCTGAACATCACTCCATCTCTTAACTCCTTCCCAAGGGCTAGGGATTAAGAATAAAATGGAATTGAAAAAAAATACACAACTTGTTGGATTGGGAATGAGAATGCAGATAAAACTACATATAATTGGGCGTCTTGTTGCTCATATTTAGCTTAGGGTAAAAAAAAGGTTATCCTGTTTCTCATAGCTCAAAAGGTTTACATATCAAATTTTATGGTTTCTGTCTTAGTAATTACATACCTCTTTTTAAAAGCGGTCCCAGCCCTAACCAGTTTGGCTCAGTGGATAGAGCGTCGGCCTGCGGACTGAAGGGTCCCAGGTTCGATTTGGTCAAGGGCATGTACCTTGGTTGTGGGCACATCCCCAGTAGCGGGTGTGCAGGAGGCAGCTGATCTATGTTTCTCTCTCATCGATGTTTCTAACTATCCCTCTCTCTTCCCTCTGTAAAAATCAATAAAATATATTAAAAAAAAAAAAAAGAGGTTCCAGTTGAGTTACATTTGTTAAAATCAGGGCTATCTAATAATAATGTGAGCCACATAAATAATTTTCTAGTAGCCATATTAAAAAAGTAAAGAGAAAAAAGTAAATTTAATTTTAGTAATGTATTTTATTTAATCCAACAGATCAAAAATATTATTTTAATGTATAAACAATTAAAAATTAATATAGCTTGTATTTTTAAATTATTTTTTTATCTTTGAAATTCAGGGTATATATTGGCCACATTTCAAAAGCTAATAGCCACATGTACCTAGTAGTTAACATAGTGGATAGTGCAGATGTAGAGGTTGGACAGCTGAATTTTTTATTGTCTTCCAGATACAAATAGAAAGTGGAACTCCCTTCAAACTGTATTGGGCTCTAGAGATGGTAGCATTCCTTGGTAACAGAAAGCCGCAGTTTCACATTTACTGGAGCAGTTTGTTGAGGAGATGTCATAAATGCTATTGTCGTCACTTGTAAAGGGTGGGGTCTGGCTGTTATAAGTGAATGGATTTAAGAAATGTGTTTTGTTTTTATCTAAGTTTCTACTGAGATTTAAAAAAATACTCTTATGGTCAGTAGTTTAAAACACCTGTTATTTTAAAATGCTTTTTGTCTTCTGTAGGAATTTCACAATGAATTGGCTCCTATGTCAAGAATCCCTACAGGCACCATCTCAAGAATTTTTTTTGCGATTGACACAGTCTTCTTTACTTCCTTTCTATATTTTAGTGTTAATTATTTGTTTTCTTTCTATGATGCAAGTTATTTTTAGGAGAATTAAGTAAGTACCAATGAAACTCAATCACATTTCTAGTATATTATGGTAATATAGTATATAAAATACTTATTTTTAATATTCCTCCAATATTTGTGTATTTGTTTTAGAGCTTCTAATTTCATTCTGTCTTCATCAGTATGAAAAAAATATAAGTTAACCAATAAAATTTAAGTTTATAAATCTAAACATGTAATATCCAGATTTAGTGTAGGAGTAATATTTAAGTAATCAGGTAAGCTTTCACAAACTTGATAATTTACTCAGATTTTTACTTAACATAAGAATAATTTTTTCTATTTAACCTCAATGAAGCTAGTAGTATAAGTGATTTTAATTATAAAGTTTGATTATTTTTTAAAATGTTTATCATGTTGGAAAAGGGATTGTGTGTGGCATCTTGATTTTGAGAGCTTAGTTGTTTAAATTACTATTTAACTATATTGGTTTAGCAATTACTAGTGAGTGATAATTGATCTTGGAAAGGATCCTAAAACACTTTTTAAATTATATTTCTGAACTTTCATTTTTAGTCTTCACTGAGTCAGTTACATTTAGGTTCTAAAAGCCTTTTTCAAAAACTTGGAGATAGGAAAGTTAGTATTGGACTAGCAGAATATGCTTTCAAATGATCAGAAATACTGATATTTCTTTTTATGAGGAAATTTAAGATCTTTTATTTTTCAAATATATAGTTTAGTAAAAAAAACATTTCCTTTCTGTAGTGGTGAGTCCCTGAAAGAAACTGTTACTCTTGAAGATGGGCGAATTGGAGAAAGGCCAGAAATAATTTATCATGTGATTCACACTATTTTTTTTGGTTCTCTTGCAATGATTATAGAAGGGTAAGTGTACTTTATTTGACCTATTTAAAAAATATATATTTTTATTGCCTGGCCTGTGTGACTCAGTGGTTGAGCATCAACCTGTGAACCAGGAGGTCTTGGTTTTATTCCTGGTCAGGGCACATGCCCTGGTTTCTGGCTTGATCCCCAGGAGGAGGCATGCAGGAGACAGCCAATTAATGATATATTTTTAAAGTTTTTTTTTTTTTTTTTTTTTTTTTTTTTTTTTAAATATATTTTATTGATTTTTTACAGAGAGGAAGGGAGAGAGATAGAGAGTTAGAAACATCGATGAGAGAGAAACATCGACCAGCTGCCTCCTGCACATCTCCCACTGGGGATGTGCCCGCAACCCAGGTACATGCCCTTGACCGGAATCGAACCCGGGACCCTTCAGTCCGCAGGCCGACGCTCTATCCACTGAGCCAAACCGGTTTCGGCTATTTTTAAAGTTTTTAAAATATATTTTTATTGAGTTTTTAGAGAGAGAGGAAAGGGGGAAAAAGAGAGAGAGAGAGAGAGAGAGAGAGAGGAGAAACATTGATATGAATGCAAAACATAGTTTGGCTGCCTCCTGCATGCTCCTTACCTGGGATCGAGCCTGCAATCTGGGCATGTGCCCTGACCAGGAATAAAACCGGCAAACTTTCAGTACATGGATGACGCCCAATCAACTGTGCCACACCATCCAGGGCTGACCTATTTTCTTAAGAAGTGTCCTTTCAAATGGTAATTGGTGGATACTTTCAAGAATACATGTGTAAAACTTTATATAATAAACTCAAAGTCTATAAACTTTTTTAACCTAACTGGAGTTTACAAAGGCATTTACTAGTAGTTGTGGAGGTGGGTAGGAGAGTGCAGTTTAAGGAACATTTCCTAAATGGGGTGAAAGTATTTTTTTAAAAATATATTTTATTGATTTTTTTACAGAGAGGAAGGGAGAGGGATAGAGAGTTAGAAACATTGATCAGCTGCCTCCTGCACACCCCCTACTGGGGATGTGCCCACAACCAAGGTACATGCCCTTGACCGGAATCGAACCTGGGACTCTTCAGTCCACAGGCCGACGCTCTAGCCACTGAGCCAAACCGGTTAGGGCTGGGGTGACAGTATTGAGAGAGAAATAGAGATTGGCCTGGCTGTCACTTTCCTTGTGTATATGTAATTTGGGAAGAAGTATTTTTTGGGAACTATAAGAGGGAAGTAGCAAGAGATTATGTCTAGAAAAATAAATAGGGACCAGATTAGGTGGTTTAATGCCAAAATTTGACAGGATCAGATTGCTTTTTAGTAAGATCTCTCTGGCAGCAAAAATTGAGAAAGATTTGAGCAAAACAAGATTAGAAGAAAATAAGCCATTAAGAAGGTGTCACAGTAGAATTTAGAGGAGAGAAGCAATGGAGATGGAGGAAAGGGGCTAAAACTAAAATATTTAGGAATTGGAAACTGCATGAGTAGCAGTAGGGACTGTGGTGGAGGGACCATAGGAAGAGCTGCAACTCAGAGCCAAAGGAGGACTTTTTAAAGGAAGATGTGATCAGATAGAGTAGAAGGCGAAGAAAGAAAGAGGAGTGTGGACTTCAAGGAGTCTGGCTGTAATGGGAATCAGAGTCTAAGGCAGAGGGGTACATTTGTACCGGGAGGGAAAAACTTATGTGCATTATGGGATGGCAGCATTGAGATTGTTCTGCAAACTGTCTGGAACACTAATCATATTTAGAGATGTAGTAGGAGAAAAAACTGGAAAGGCAAGTCAAGGCCATATTTTAGAGGGTCCTGAAAACTATTTAGATGAGTTTTCACTTATTTCAGTAGGCACTGGGGAGCCATTAGAATTTTGAACAGAAAGTGTCTTATAGTTATGTTTGAAGAAGATTCATTTGGCATTTGGTTGAGCTGGAGGAGAGTCTAAAGGTAGAGATGTTAATTTATAGGCTCTTGCAATAAAATAGCGAGCAAGGGTTGGATACAGAGAAATCCGTGGATTTGCATAATGGTCTAATCCAGCCGTGGGCAAACTATGGCCCGCGGGCCGGATCCGGCCTGTTTGAAATGAATAAAACTAAAAAAAAAAAAAAAAAAAAAAGACCGTACCCTTTTATGTAATGATGTTTACTTTGAATTTATATTAGTTCACACAAACACTCCATCCATGCTTTCGTTCCGGGCCTCCGGTCCAGTTTAAGAACCCATGTGGCCCTGGAGTCAAAAAGTTTGCCCACCCCTGGCTAATCTCTAGAGCAGAGAGTTTGTGTTCGAGGGGATATTCTATAATATAATTCAGTGTGTATGATATCTCCTGGAGTTACAAACCAGGTTGTAGTATTGATGTTCATAGGATATCTCATATGTGACTCCTTTTGTCTTTTCCAGCTTGAAATACCTCTGGACTCCTTATGTGTGCATGTTAGCAGCATTTGGTGTTTGTTCTCCTGAACTTTGGACGACGCTTTTCAAGTGGCTTCGATTACGAACTGTACACCCAGTGTTGTTGGTGAGTCATTGTTATTTTAGGTTAAGTACTTGTTTCTCTTCTAGTTAATGTAAATGGAAACCACATTGAATACCATTGAAATAGCATGAATAAGTCACATTATAACTTACGGGTAGAAAAAGAGATCCTGTGGAAAACATTTTTAATAATTTCTAAGTGTAAAAGAAATGCATTTTAATGCAGACAACTTAAAACATAAAAGGTAAAGAAAGTGAATCAGTACTGTGAGAAGCTATCAAGAATTAATTTTTATATCTTGGTTTGATTGAGATCTCTGGTATGTTTTCAGTGTGAATGGAGCACTTATACTGCCTGCTGTGTGCAATGTGCTTGGAGTACACAGATAAATAAAACATGATTAATTTCATCATGTAGATTATGGTCTCCTGATCATAAAAGTAGCTAATAAAAAATACTGATGCGCCTGGCTGGTATAGCTCGGTGGGTTGAGTGTCATCCCATGGACCAAGAGATCCCGGGTTTGATTCCCGGTCAGGAGCACATACCTGGGTTGTGGGCTCGATCCCCGGTAGGGACATGCAGGAGGCAGCTGACTGATGTGTCTCTCTCATCAATTTTCCTGTCTCTCTCTCCTTTTTCCTTCCTCTCTATCTAAAAATCAATAAAAACATATATTTTTTAAAAAAGTATTGATGCTATTGGAACACAGAGAAGGGATACCTAATTCAGTTTTTAAGACTTTCCAGTATAACATTTGAAAGATGCTAAGTTATTAGTCAAATGAAGGGGGAAAAAAGGGTATTTGTGCTAGAAGGAATAAACACTGATAGGCAAAGAATGATGTAATCAAAGGGTATAAAAACAGAGGAAAAGAAAAAGCATGATACATTTAGTTTTGTTAGCACATAAAATGTGAGGCGAGGTAGGGCTGCTCAAGAAATGAGACTGGAGAAGTTGAAGAGGATAAGGTCACAGAGGCCTCTCAGTGTCTGCTGTGGCACTTGGTCTTACCCTAGAGGCAGTAGGAAGGCATGGAGATTGCAGGCAGGGGTGTGAGGGACAGACTTATAGTTTTCTCTCAGCTCACCCTTACAGTTCCGTGAATGATAGACTTACGGTGACAGACTGGAGCCAGGAAAGATGCTGTCACTCAGGTACAGGCCATGGTAGATGAAAGTAACAAAAGCTTTAATTCATTGAGTGCTCAACATGTGTCAGGTATTTTTCAAAGCATTTCACATGCTACTCAACCCCTACAAACACCTATTGGCTAAGTTTTATTATCAGTATTTTATAGACAAAAAAAAAAAACACTAAAGACTACACTGGTCAAATAATTTTCCTGAGATCACATAGCTTATACGGCCGGACATCAAGATTCACACCTAGGTTTTTCTTATTGCAAAGCCCATTCAGTTCATACTGTGCTATACTGGAGTGAAAAGAATAGTTAGAAGATTAATAAGACTTGGTGCCTGTTAAGTGTGAAAAAGGGAGAAATCATTGTTGTTTTCTATGTTTCTGGTTTATATGACTGTGGATCATGGGGTCACCAATGAACACGGGACAATAAGGAGAAAGACTTGGGAAGAACGATATTAGTCACGTTGTATTTTGCCAGTTTTTTCCCAAGGAATTTATACATTTTTATTTTACCATGCTAGTATATTGATGTATATTAGCTATTTTGCCTATGTTATTCCATTGTGTTTTTGTTACTGTTGTTAGTGTTTTAGGTAGCTGTTCAGGAACCTTTGTGTAC